ATATTATTTTTTGTCCTTTATTTTAGCTCTATATAACTACCTTAGATCATATATTCGCAATTGTTAAACTAATCAAGGTGCTATTCTCAGGTGCTAAAGTTAATAAGTTCACAATTTTGCCATTATACTCCAAAGCTCATTTATTTGATTACCACTTTATTGTTCACCACAACTTATATTAGTCCCTTTTATATTATAATTTTATATTATAATTCTAACTTTAAAGAATTACCTTTAAAGTACTACCTACTATCATATTCCCAAGCTCCATTATTTGATCATCACTTTATTTGTTCACCACAAATTATTTTAGTCCCTTTTATATTGTCTCCTTTATTTTAGCTTTAAAAAACTACCTTAGCTCATTATTTTTACATTTGTTAAATAATTCAGGTGTTTTTTTTTTTTTAGCTTTAGAATATTTACTTTATTTTTTACTTAATTCTAACTATAGATTCACTACAAATCTTATGATTACAAGCATTGATCCTGATACCAACCTCTTATTTAATGACTTAAATGATTCAAACAGTTTCTGTAATTACTACACAGCAGAACAATCAAAGGCACTTCTCAGAGCCAACAACACAACATAACTATTCTTTAACTACAATATCAGATCTTTAAGCAAGCATTACGATGACCTCCTAGCATTACTAAATTCCTTGCATGCCAATATGTCCATCATTACACTAATTGAAACCTGGCTAAAGCATGATACTACAGATGTCTATGCCATTCCTGGTTACACAGCCATACACAACTGTAGGCCAGACCAACAAGGGGGTGGCACAGCTATATACTATCAGACCAACTGAATGTATCACTAATACTTGCACAAGGGATGAACATGGGGAATATATAATAGCTAAATTCAAATCCAAATACCTACAAAAACCTCTCACAATGATAAACATCTACAGAATTCCACAATCAAACATTAGGCAATTTAGTCAAAACCTAGGAAGTATGATAACTGATGCACGCATGAACAAAGATCACTTACTACTCTCAGGTGACTTCAATATAAATCTCCTGCAAGACCAGGACCCACACGTTACTGAATTCACAAACACAATGAGTAACTGCATGTTGCTACCAACAGTAACAAAACCTACAAGAGTTACAGAGACTAGCATTTCCCTACTTGACCACATCTGGACCAACACCATATCCCCTTTAAAATCAGGCATAATTACAGATAATACCACAGACCACTACCCTACTTTCCTCATAACAACTCTTGGTACAATACCCCAAGACACTACTAAAGTCACCTTCAGACTTCACAATGAGGCAGCCATTAATAACTTAACAACAGCAGTAACAAACATTGACTGGCACACACAGCTAGAAATCTATACAGATATTGACAAATGTTTTAATAATTTTCTAAAAAAGACCCAATACCTTTATAACAAGCACTGCCCTAAAAAAACTAAACAGATGACAGCTAAGAGACTGAACAGTCCCTGGCTAACACCCAGCATTCTCAAATCCATAAATACAAAACACCGATATGAAAAACAGTACAGAATGGGTCACATAACCAGAGACCAAACAAAACGTTACTCGTCAATCCTAACCAGCCTGATAAGAAGGGCAAAAAAATTGTATTATGAGAACAGATTATCCAACTTACGAGGTGATATAAAAAAAACCTGGAAGACCCTATCAGAAATTCTGGGAACAAAAAAGATATCACGACATAACGAAATAAAATTAGCAAAATCAGATGAACCCCAACTCCCACCAACAGAAACAGCAAACAGACTCAATGATTTCTTCTCCACTATAGGTCAAAACCTTGCCAATAATATCCCAAGCTCAGATACCCCACCAAATGACTATCTCACTGGCAAACTACCCGAACACACTGTTCCTAGTCCGACTAACCATACGAAGTCTCCCTTATTATCAACGCACTGAAAAACAAGGCAGGAGATTTAAATACCTTACCACCCTTTATATACAGAAAAGTGTCACAAGTACTATCACCAATCATTGCAACACTCTTTAACAAATCCATTGAATCTTCCACCTTCCCTACAGTTCTCAAAATAGCAAGGGTCACCCTGATCCATAAAGGAGGAGACCAGACAGAGTTGAATAACTATAGGCCAATATCCAATTTACACCCTCTCTCAAAAATCTTCGAAAAATTAATTCATAAACGAATCTACTCCTACCTCATCTCCCATAACATTCTCAATCCCTGCCAATTTGGATTCAGGCCTAATAAAAATACTAATGATGCTATTATACACATGCTAGAACATATATACACTGCAATAGAGAAAAAAGAAGTCCCACTGGGGATCTTCATTGACTAACGTAAAGCTTTTGATACAGTTGACCATGACTTGCTCCACGTAAAATTGTCACACTATGGTATTAGAGGGCACTCCCTCAACTACCTCAAGTCATACCTCAGCAACAGAAGCCAATATGTGTACGCAAATGGGGCAAGCTCTTCCGCACAACCAATTACAGTTGGTGTCCCACAGGGAAGTGTCCTTGGCCCTCTTCTCTTTCTCCTATACATAAATGACCTACCAAGTGCTTCGCAATTACTCAAACCCACACTTTTTGCAGATGACACCACATACGTCTTCTCTCACCCGAACCCAGTCACGCTAGCCAATACTGTAAACACCGAATTACAGAAAATATCTTCCTGGATGAGGACTAACAAACTTACACTAAACATTGACAAAACCTACTTCATTCAGTTTGGTAGCAGAGCTACAGATGTACCTCTTAACATAATGATAAACGGATCACCTATCACAAAGCTAACAGAGGGAAAATTCTTAGGAATCCACCTCGATAATAGACTCAAGTTTCATACACATATACAACAAATTTCTAAGAAAATTTCCAAGACTGTAGGCATACTATCGAAGATACGGTACTATGTTCCACAGTCAGCCCTCCTGGCCCTTTACCACTCTCTTATTTACCCCTATCTCACCTATGGAATTTGTGCATGGGGCTCAACAACAACTAACCATCTCAGACCACTAATTACCCAACAAAAGGCTGCAGTTAGAATGATAACAAATTCTCACTACAGGCAGCCCACTCCACCAATATTCAAAACACTCAACCTACTCACCATACAAAACATCCATACTTATTATTGCACTTATTACATACATAGAACACTTAACTCTGATATTAACCCTCCCCTCAAACATCTCCTTGCCAATCTCAGCAGAACACATGACCATAATACAAGGCACAGATCACTCTTTGATGTTCCTCGTGTCCATCTCACGCTATGCAAAAACTCAATGCACATAAAAAAGGCCCTAAAATCTGGAATTCATACCTGTAAATATAAAAGAAACACTACCCGTTTATAAATTCAAGTCTCTTCTCAAAGTTCACTTACTCACTCAAAACCAAATAAATACTGAATAAAATGAACCATATAAATTGTATATCCTAAATGTTACTCACAATTATATCACACAAATGTTAAATCTAACTTTATTTTTTTTAAATACACTACCTAACAGAATACTCCATTCTACTGAATGAACAGCAATGCATGCAACCATAGGACCTGTCTTTGTAATACTCATTTGTATTTTATAGTTATCTGTTTACAATAATGTCTTATCACTGATTTCATCATTGCTTAGTTAATCTTAAGTTAATTTTAAGCCAGCCCGTAATGCTATGCATATAAGTGGCTTTGGCATGCTGCTCTTACCTGTATTTTTTGTACCTCTGTTTGTATGCTAAAATTTCTAAATAAATAAATAAATAAATTAATATTTCATGTGGTAAAAATTTTTTTTTCATCTTTTGGGTGTCTTGCACGGATTAATTTTATTTCCATTGTTTCTTATGGGGAAAATTAATTCGCCTATCGATATTTTCGACATTCAATGAGCTCTCAGGAATGGATTAATATCGAATGTCAGGGGTCCACCGTATTATGTTCACTAGCAGTATACTATGTTCACTAGCAGTGTATTATGTTCGCTAGCAGTGTATTATGTTCGCTAGCAGTGTATTATGTTTGCTAGCAGTGTATTATGTTCGCTAGCAGTGTATTATGTTTGCTAGCAGTGTATTATGTTCGCTAGCAGTGTATTATGTTTGCTAGCAGTGTATTATGTTCGCTAGCAGTGTATTATGTTTGCTAGCAGTGTATTATGTTCTCTAGCAGTGTATTATGTTTCCTGTCAGTGTATTATGTTTGCTAACAGTGTATTATGTTCACTAGCAGTGTATTATGTTCGCTAGCAGTGTATTATGTTCGCTAGCAGTGTATTATGTTCTCTAGCAGTGTATTATGTTCTCTAGCAGTGTATAATGTTCACTAGCAGTGTATTATGTTCACTAGCAGTATATTATGTTCACTAGCAGTATATTACGTTCGCTAGCAGCATATTATGTTCACTAGCAGTATATTACGTTCACTAGCAGCATATTATGTTCACTAGCAGTATATTACGTTCGCTAGCAGTGTATTATGTTTGCTAGCAGTGTATTATGTTTGCTAGCAGTGTATTATGTTCTCTAGCAGTGTATTATGTTCTCTAGCAGTATATTATGTTCACTAGCAGTATATTATGTTCACTAGCAGTGTATTATGTTCGCTAGCAGTGTATTATGTTCGCTAGCAGTGTATTATGTTCTCTAGCAGTGTATAATGTTCACTAGCAGTATATTATGTTCACTAGCAGTGTATTATGTTCACTAGCAGTATATTACGTTCACTAGCAGTGTATTATGTTCGCTAGCAGTGTATTATGTTCACTAGCAGTATATTACGTTCACTAGCAGTGTATTATGTTCACTAGCAGTATATTATGTTCACTAGCAGCATATTATGTTCACTAGCAGTATATTACATTCGCTAGCAGTGTATTATGTTCGCTAGCAGTGTATTATGTTCTCTAGCAGTGCATTATGTTCTCTAGCAGTGTATTATGTTCTCTAGCAGTGTATTATGTTCTCTAGCAGTGCATTATATTCACTAGCAGTGCATTATGTTTTTCAGGAATTTCACTGGACCAGGAGTACTGTGAAAGCTGTGCCGCTGAAGCTTCCAGACACATTGAAGGTTCAAGAGGCTCTAGAGAGAGTCCTGAAACTGCCTTCAGTGGCCAGCAAGAGGTATCTCACTAACAAGGTAACTACTTCTTGGCGTTTTAATGTTAAAGTTTTGGAATGAAACTTTTGTTCTTGAAGCTGTCAGACACAGTGACAGTTCAGGAACCTCTGGAACCTGTGTTCTTGATGCTGTCAGACACACTGACGGTTCAAGAACCTCTGCAACCTGTGTTCTTGATGCTGTCAGACACACTGATGGTTCAAGAACCTCTGGAACCTGTGTTCTTGATGCTGTCAGACACACTGAAGGTTCAAGAACCTCTAGAACCTGTGTTCTTGATGCTGTCAGACACACTGAAGGTTCAGGAACCTCTGGAACCTGTGTTCTTGATGCTGTCAGACAAACTGAAGGTTCAAGAACCTTTAGAACCTGTGTTCTTGAAGCTGTCAAACACACTTAAGGTTCAAGAACCTATAAAATATATGTTAAAGTTACTTTGCTGCTACCACTTGGTATCTAACTAAGAAGGAGGGTACCAAACTAACAAGGAAGGTACCTAACTAACAAGGAAGGTACCTAACTATTATTACTGTTCTTACTGTTGAACAACGGTTTAGTGCCGATGGAGGTAGCATAGGTAGCAATGATACGGCCGTGGACTAGTTTGGCTTTAATTGGATAGGAGTGAGTACACAACGGGCAATGTGAGGGAATGACCGATAGCCAGTCCGTGGAGGGGAGCGCTTGTACCTCTCAAGTCAGTTGGCCGGGAAGTGAGACCGAATGGGCCCAGCATCCCACCGACCTGGGTAAGCCTACAGAGGGCAGCACTTAAATGCCGTGAAATATGAACTAAGCTGGCAGACGGCATAGGGTCTGTGCTGACAGTACAGGCTGTCTACATTTGCTCTGCCATGCACCTCGTGTCGTCCCGACGCGACAATACTGGTGGGCCTGTAGGTGCAAAAGAATTACTTACACTAGCTACTCCAGGGAGGGACTGACTTTCGCTCACTTGTAAATCAAAAATGGACATAAAATGCAACAGGCAAAAAAAAAAACTCCCATCCTGGGGAAGAGAAAACTGGCTTGCCCACGCAGCTTCATTGAGGAGAGAGTCCGGAGACGTCAGCACTGGAACTAAAACCTTCTATATACAGGTTGTCCGCAGGGCTGAACATCAGGCTTGACTACTCGTCTACGAACGCTGTTGCACCCTCACATCTGCAAACAATGACTGACAGTAGCATTTCCTAAGGTGTGACATGACTCGGAGGGCAGCACTGCCCTGACCATAATACAGGCTTTAAAAGAGACACTGGGTGCACATACCTACAGTAATACTATATCCATGGAATTCATTATACTCTGGGTACCCTTCTAAAATTATTTACATATTTACATGATGTTGTCCACCCTGACTCCATTATCAACTAGCTATACAATGTGTGTGCATTTATACCCATTTCTGCAAGCAAACAATTAGCATAACTAGCGTAGGAGTCAGACAAGTCAGTAGGTACGTCAATGTCACAGAAATGTACTGTTGTCCTGGGTCGCAGGCCATAAGTATGGAGCCTTACTGGGCTGTCTTCAGTAACAGTAGTAGTGAGAGAAGAAGTAGACGGGTTGTCCCTAGCATTGGTCTGACTGTGGCATTGCAACTCACACGACTCCAGCTCTGCTTCGGCCTGCACGTGGTCCACATACTTCATGTGATCAAGGTGGGCTTCTTTGATAGTTCCAGTAGCAATCTCCCTCACCTCGAACTTGTTGCCACGGAGCTGTCGGAGGACATGGTAAGGACCCATGAATTTTGGGACAAGTTTGTGCATACCTGGGGTCTGCGCTGGGTTGAGCAACATAACTTTGCAACCTGGTTCCACTTTGCTTTCCTTGGCGAGGGCATTGCACTCAGACGTGAACCTATCAGTAGCTTTCATAAGGTTCTCTCATACCCACTGGAAAACAAACTGCGTTTTCCGCATCTTTACTACACTGGGGTTATCAGTGTCATAAGTAGGTCGAGGCGGAGCAAAAAGAATTTCGTATGGTAAGTGCTTGTCATAGCCATACAAAGCGAAATGAGGTGTCTCACCAATCGAGGTGTTGAGGGAGGAGTTTAATGTACACTGAACATCTGGGATAGCCTCATCCCATGTAGTACAACTTGGGTTAATGGTTACCCTGAGCGCCTCCAGGACTTTGCGATTTGTATGTTCAGCAAGACCAGTACTCACAGGGTGGGGTGGCGTGGAGCTACTGGTGCTTGGCGAATGTTAAATCTGGAGCAAAGATCCTACATTTTGGCGTTTATGAACTCAGACCCATTGTCTGACAGAAGGACACGTGGGCAGGTATGACAGAGAACCACATGCTCACGGAAAGCATTAGCAACAGTCTCGGCAGTTTTATCAGGAATGGGTACTAATTCACTGTACTGCATCAAGTTATCTACCATTACAAGCAGGTGCTTATTTCCCTTCTCCGAGGTCGGGAAGTTCGTCAACAGGTCGACAGAAGTTCTCTCCCAGGGCTCCTTTGTAATGGGATACTTTAGAATGGGGTTAGGACCTGTTAACGTCCCCTTTGTGCTGTAGGCAAACAACGCACTGGTGTACATGCTTGGCAATGTCTGCTGCCATCTTAAGCCAGAAATATTTCATTCGTGCCTGTTTGATACTGCGGTCCTTCCTGGGGTGTGTTACAGCTGGGACATCGTGGATCAACCCAAGAGTAGCTGGTATCATGGACTCCGGTATCGCCAGTTGGTATATGGTTCTGCCGGGGTCCACCAGCTGTGCAACACGGCACAGCACTCCTTGGTTGACCACCAAATCCTTCAGTGGGACGGGAGACTTGACCTGCAAGTCAACGTCCTCCTTGGTCAGGAAACGATGAACTGGAGACCACACAGGGTCCTGCCATTGGGCTCTCTCAAGATCCTCAACAGAGAATGAGTTGTCGACACTCACGACTGCTATATGCCTCGACAGGGCATCAGCTACAACATTTTGCTTACCTGGGACATAGCAAATTTCAGGGTTGTAGTCATTGAATGTGAGCGACCACTGAGCATGCTTTCCTGAGAGGTTCTTATTAGCAAAAAGGGCCAGTAAAGGTAGATGATCTGTGTAAATCTTGATAGGATAATGGTAGATGATATACCGAAAATGACTCGAGGCCCATACAATGGCTAAAGCTTCTAGCTCTGTCACTGAGTAATTGACTTCCGCTTTAGTAAGGACACGGCTAGCACAGGCAATAGGCTGTTGCTTACCATTAGATTCCTGTGACAAGACTGCACCGATGCCAACTTTGCTGGCATCAGTCGTCAAGGTAAGCGCCTTGGTAAAATCAGGGAATCTAAGGGCTGGGGCTGATGTTAACTTGTTCTTGAGAGTGACAAAAGCTCGTTCTTGATCACACATCCACTCAAAAGGGGCATCCTTCTTGAGTAAGCGTGTCAGGGGTGCAGCAATGGTGGAGAAACCTGCGATAAAGGTGCGGTAGAAACCCACCAGGCCTATGAAGGACTGGACTGCATCCACCGTCATGGGTCTGGGGAATTTCTGCACGGCCGAGATTTTAGACTCGTCTGTCTTTATGCCATTCTGAGTCACTACGTGACCCAGAAATTTTATTTCCTTCCGGAGGAAGTGACATTTGGAGAGCTTTACCTTAAGGTTTACCTGAGCTAGCTTGTCCAATACTCTGTCAAGTTTCTCAAGATGTATCGGGACATCTTGCGACATGACTATGAGATCATCTAGGTAGACCATGAGTGTGCCACCTAGGAGGGTACGGAAAATTGTCGTCATCAAACGGCTAAACGTGATTGGGTTTCCGCACAAGCCGAAGGGCATCCTTCTGAACTGGTAATGACCGGTTATCATAGAGAAAGCTGTCAACTCTTTGCTCTTATCATTGAGGGGGATCTGCCAGAACCCTTGAAGAAGATCAAGAGTTGAAAAGACCTTATTATCACCGATGTTCTGCAACAGGTCATTCAGAACTGGCAACGGAAAGCGGTCTGGGATTGTACACGCATTCAGTTTCCTGTAATCAATAACAGGGCACCAGGTTCCGTCTTTCTTGGGGACCAGAATGGGAGGAGCATTCCACGGGGAAGTGGACTCCTCAATAACTCCATCATGGAGCATCCTTGTAATGAGTTCTTCAGCAAAGACTCTTTGCGCATGTGGCAGGCGATACGCAGGTACATAAATGGGTTTAGTACCTTTGTCAAGTGGAATACGGTGAGAGATCAGTGGGGTCAAACCCATCGACTCACCATCTAGCGCTACTGCAGAACGTGCACGATTGAGAACCTTGAAAAGTTTTGGGACCTCTTCAGGATAGTCTGTCATAGCTAGTCATCTTCCTGCACTGGCCAGGTGTTGGAAGAGTCAGCAGCAGACTCGCCTGGGAGAACTACACTTACGAGGAGGTCAGCTGGGACTTCACCCTCCACTCTCACCGGGAGAGGGAATCTGACAAGATCAACAAGTGAGGTATTCTTCCACAGGGAAATTCTCGACTGTGCATGTTGACAACAAGGACTTGCAACTTACCACGTTGCACTGTGTGCAAGGATGGTTCAAGGGAGAGGTCCTTGACTCGGCACGTGTCGTTGTCAACCACCACATGGTCTCCTTCAAAAGCTCTGCTCATGTACACCATAACAGGAGTGAGCGAGTTAGCTGACAAAGTGACGTCATACTTTGTACAAGCAGTAACTCTGCTCACTGATGCCATGACACGAGTCAGACAGTCACCTGCCGACAGGGATACCGCGGCTTGACAACTGATGTTCTCTACAACAGTGCTAGAGTCAGAGTGAAGGTTAGACTGGGCATCCCCAGACTGGGTTTCACTGGTAACTAAGCACTGATGGCCAGGAGGTGACGGGCAACGAGCTCTACTACAAGGTCGATCAGGACAAGAGACCGACCCCGGGGAGAATGTGCTACGGAAACCATCGGTTTCCAACGATTCCAGACACTGTGCGTACTCTGAGACAGAGTAGCACATAGTGGATCCTAAGCACACGCCCCAGAAGGGCACATCCACTCCTT